AACCCACCCGCCCATCCAAGTAGGCCCATTGTCGCCGCCATTGCCAAAGTCCGGTGATCTCCCAAAGGAGACTTGCGCTCCACATAGTCCCGCGTCAGTGAGTTCGGGGGATCCTCCAAGCTGACGCCCAGCTCCTCGGACGCCAGCCTTCGGATTTGCAAAGCCACAGCCTGATGATCCTTCATCGGTTGCCCCCCGATCTCTGCTTTATTGATTGGGTCTCTAGTTGTTTAGATTCCTTTTGGTCCTCCCGTACGGGTCTAGGTAACTTTCTTAAACTTTCGACGGTAGTGCCCGCCTGCACAGTTGTGTCTGAGCGCGCCTCAGGCGATGTTTGGCCGGTCCCTTTGCCTAGACGGCTCGGATGGACGGCCTTTGGTTGCAAACCTAATCCGCGCCGCCGGCGCCGCCTCCGCGTGCGCAGGGTGGTTTGGGATCTAGTTAGACTCCAGGTTGGTTGCCTTAATTGGCTTGCCCTTGGTTGCCCCCTTAAGCCCCCAACTTGTGCTTGTACCGATGGCGCCCGCCTGCAACCTGCGCAAATCAGTGTCCTTCAAACTTTTGAGCGGCGCTGCGTGCATTTTGTGCGAGCAGGGCGTTTGAACAGTTCAGCCTTGGGCCGAAGCGCGGAAAAATTCGATCTTCTTTTACGCATGGCCTCGGAACTGCCCTTGTGTGATTCTTGTCCCACTGGGGAGGTGGACCGCGTGCTGCGCCAATTTGTTTCTGCGTTGCATCCTGACTGGGCCGATTACTCCCGTGCTGCCAGGGTCAACCCCACTGCCCAAGACCCGCCTCAGGATGGACCATGCCCGCCTTCGGCGCCTGCCTCTCGCGAAGCAGCTGGCCTTTTTCAGGCTCCTCCTTCGCAAAAAGCCAAATGTGCAGTCAGCTCAGGGTTGGCATGCAAACCTGTTGTGGCTTCCAGGGTCAAATGGACTTTACCACCTAGTTTTGATCCAACTCCGTTTCTGAGCGACCCAGTTGTCAGGCAAGCTTACATCGATCCGATGTTTTTGCGGAAGCCCCCAAACTTGTGGCCTCAGCTCTCGAAAGCAAAGGTACATTGTTCAAAACTTGAGTTGCTCCGCCTTGCTTCGAAGTGGGATGAATTCGATGCTTTGAGACTGTTCCCCACTGATGCCATTGACCCTCACGAAACTGTCGGTTGCTTCTGTGTGCCGAAAGATGAGGTTTGGGATCGGTTCATTGTTAACCCACGAGTTGCCAACTCCCGGACTTTTTCACACAGCAACTTCACTAGAATGTTGGCGCCCGGGTCCATGTTGACACTGGCCCATCTTCCCTCTCTTTCTCACTGCGTCAGGTTTTGCGCCGATGATTTATCGGAAATGTATCACACCTTTAAGGTGGGGGATCAGAGGGCCATGAGAAATTGCATCGGTGTTCCGCTTCAGCCTCACGAAGTCAGTCACTTCAAAGCTTACGACCCCACTTTGCGCAACTGTTCAGTTTATGCCTCTCTCGGAGCTGAGCTTTGGCGATGGGGGGGAACGGACACGCTGTTGAGTTTGCCCAACAAGCTCATTTCAACGTGCTTTCTCAGATGGGGGATTGTGTGCGAAACGAGGAGTTTGTCAGCTATCGTAAGACTTTTTTCAGGGGATCTACCATGGAATTTCTCTCCATTGACGATCGCATGACGGCTCAGGTTTGCACTTTGCATGAGCATAAGCGGAAGGCCAAGCTGAGAGATAGTGTCATTTTTGAATCAGCAGATTCGGTTTGTCCTAAGGTGGGTTTAGTTCAGCACGCCAAGAAACGCCGTAGGAATGTTACCTCCGGGATCTTCTTAGGAGCCGATGTCAATGGACTTGATGGCCTTGTCAGTGCTCCGCGGCATCGGATTGGTGTGCTGGCTCGCCTGACTTCGGTCGTTGTCCGAAAGGGCTGCTGCTCTTCTTCATTGCTCTCCGCTCTGCTTGGAGTGTGGATACACATCCTGATGTTCAGGCGGCCGCTCTTTGGTCTCCTGCAAGTTGTATTTTCTGATGCGCGTCACGAGCCCAGGGACGAGGTGTTTGCATTGCAACGTGAGTCGTTGAACGAACTGCTTTGCCTTTGCCTTTTGGCGCCTCTTGCTCAAACGGACCTCAAAGTCGATTACCTGCCTTTCTTGTGTGCGATGGACGCATCGCCAAGTGGTGGCTGCCTTTGCTCGGCCGCTATGCCTGCTTCAGAAGCGCAAGAACTGTGGCGCTTCTCGGAGCAACGCGGATTCTATACCCGCTTGCTGGGCCCGGCTTCTGCTTTGCTTGCTGAACTTGGTTTGGAGTTCATGCCTGAGTTCGGGCCTGATTGCGAATTGGATTCTGCGCTGCAAGCCTCTGTGCGCTCCACTGGCGCTTCAAACAGGCCTCCTCTGTTGCGTCCTGCGCAAGAAGGCGTTTTATTCAGCGTGGTCGACCTTTTCAGTGGCTCTGGTCATTGGTCTTCGTGTCATGCCGCCGTGGGACCCGTTGCCCACCCCGGCGTTGATATTCCCAATTCCTCTGGCCGGATGTTGGATTTTGCCCTTGACGGCGCGTTCCACGAGCTTTGTGCTCTTGCCTTGCGCAGGGTTGTTCGAGAGTGGCACGGCGGGCCGCCGTGCCTTACGTACGGGACTTTGAGACGTCCCCGCTTGCGCAGCAAAGCCCAGCCATTCGGTTTCAACCCGGATGACCCTTTGACACAGCTTCATAATCGCCTCGCCGTGCGCACTGCGTTGCTGTTTTGCATTGTGCCTTGACCGGCGGTTTCACTTCTCTGTTGAACAACCCGGGAGCAGTTGCATGTTTTATCTTGATTGCTTCCGTGCTTTGGTTGCACTTGGGGCTGTCATCACCCATACAAGAAGCCCCTGCAATGGCTTCACAACAAGCCATGGGTTGTCGACCTTGCTCGGCCCTGCACCTGTGGCAAGGCCAAGGCTCATTTCATAGTCGAAGGCACTTTTACAAAGTCAAGTATGGTCGTTTTCGATCAGATGTGCTGCCCAAGTTCCGAAGCCCTCTTTGGTCGTAGTCCAAAGCCTGGTGAAAGTGTTGCACGCTTTTCCGCTTCTTACCCTTTGAGCCTTTGCAGGCTGATGGCGGTAGGCAGTTCAGCTGCTGAGAGGGGCCGTGCCACAGCAATGCCTCTCTCAGCCAAGTTTGCAACCCTTGAACTTCTAAACCCCGGTTTAGGTGCCTTTACGGGTTCCCCTAGTCCTGAGTTCCCTGAGACACGTGCTTCCCATGACGATCCTGACTGGATTGGCGAGCTTGCTGACTCGCTACCTTTCGAGGAATTGTTGAGGTTCCGCTTTCTTGAGAAGGGACACATCGAAACCAGGGTCTACAAAACGTGGATCAAGTATTGTGCCCGTAGGTACCATTCTTGTCGGGTTGTAGGACTTATAGACTCGAGGGTTCTCTTAGGTGCCTCAGCAAAAGGAAGGTCTTCAAGCCCAGCTCTGTCGAGGGTTCTCAGGTCCACGCTTCCTTACACGCTTGGGGCTGGTCTGTATCCTGGCGGACTCCATGTGTGCTCGGAGAAAAACCGTAGTGACGGCCCGTCGCGTGGACGGAAAGTTGCTCCCCCTTCGCGTGACATTCCGGCCTGGTACCTTGACCTGTGCAAAGGCTACACTCAGCGTTTCGACCTCCTGTGTGCCTCCTGCGCAGTTTCCCGTGTTCTGGGACGTTGGCTTCGCCTTTTGCTTCTGCTTGCTGGTGATGTCGAGCTCGAGGAACCCTGGGCCTGGCCGCTCACTCGTTCCACGTTGTGCCCTCGACTTGCAGTCCGGCTTTGCAGCTTCAACGCGTCGCAAGATGACCAAGGCCCTGGGTGCCTTCATGACCTGGGTATGCAGCGCTTGTGCCTCGATGCTGATGCTGTTCTCAGCAGTTCGCGCTCTGCAGCGCTGGCCTTACGTGGGTTTGGGCTTTACTTGTACGCCGCAGGGCATCCCAGATACCTGCTTGTTTATGCGATCACAGCTGTTCAGGATTTGCATCCTGAGTACCGTTCACGCTTGACACCAGCTTGGCAGGTCGATAAAAAGTGGCAGCAAACCGAACCAGGTGAATGCCGTCCGGTGATCTCTCAGCCTATTCTTGAAGCCGCTGTGGCTCTGGCCATCTGTTGGGGATGGTTTGATTGGGCTGCTCTCACTTTGATCGGCTTCCTGTGTATGCTGCACCCTTCCGAGATGGTGCCTCTTGTGCGTCAGGACATCGTGTTTCCGGAAGATGCGATGTCCGGTGACTGCATTGCTTACGTGCATATTCGTAATCCCAAAACCCAACGCTTTGCGCGACGGCAACATTGTAGACTTGAAGACTCCCTTACCCTACGGTTACTTAGCTCCTTGTACCTGTCCCTCCCTTTCAATGCCAAGCTCTTCCGTGGCTCGCTTCATACATACAGGCGGCAATGGAACGCTATCATGGAGCGCCTTGGCGTTCCGCGTACTCTTGCAAGCAAGGGCGCTACTCCCGGCGTTCTCCGTGGAGTGGTGCCACCTTTATGTATTTGGAAACGGAAGACCTTCCTTTGATCGCTTGGCGCGGCAGGTGGAGCAAGACCAAGACCATGGAATTTTATCTTCAGGAAGTTGCCGCTCAGCTTTTGCTCCAGCGATTGCCACCGTGGGCTCGGCACCGCGTACGAACTCCCAGCAATCTTTCGCGCAAACTTGTTCTTTGTGCCTGTTCCAGTCAAGGTAGTTAAAAGTGGAAAGGGGCTGTTGCTCTTAGTCCTTCCCTGGTTCTAGGTTGGTTCCCCTCCCTTAGGTTTCCCTAGTCCTTGTCCCTAGGGTTGCCCTAATGCCTGGAGTTCCCGCCCCACCTGTGTGGAGGTGCATTCGCTCAGCCCGACGACAGCGTGGCAACACGCCACTGCTGCCTCACGAGACTCTTCGAGCAAGCAGGCGAGGAAAACAGGTATGAGCACTATACCTGTACGAGCTGTGTTCGCTCGCAGCCTTTTCGTCTCCCACCCACTACCTCCCGAAAGGGGCTGTTGCTCTTAGTCCTTCCCTGGTTCTAGGTTGGTTCCCCTCCCTTAGGTTTCCCTCGTCCTTGTCCCTAGAGTTGCCCTAATGCCTGCAGTTCCCACCCCGCCCGTGTAGAGGTGCATTCGCTCAGCCCGACGACAGCGTGGCAACACGCCGCTGCTGCCTCACGAGACTCTTCGAGCAAGCAGGCGAGGAAAACAGGTATAGGGTTTAGAGTTTTAGGGTTTTGGGATTAGGGATTAGGGATAAGGATCTAGGGTGCCTTTGCATGATTTGTAGGGGTAAGATGTATGGGGTGGAAGATTTGGGGTGTTTGCTTCTTTACGATTCAAGGGTTTAGGGAACTAGGGTCTAAGGATTAAAGGTTCAAGGTTTCGGGCTTGGGGGCTTAAGGAGGACCAATGCCGAAAAATCTGGGCCGGATATGGCTTACCTGAACCCCAAGGAAAATATGTAGAATAGTAGTCTTCCGGGCTATTCTTAAGGGTTTGGGGCTATTATTCTACCTGCTAAAGCTGCGTCAGACCTATCGGGCGGCTGCTTTTGGTGTGCGGGTTCGAGGTCATGAAGAAAAAGCAAAGACTTAGGGTTTCAGGGCCTCAGGGTTTAGCGTTCTAAGGCTTAAGGTCATTACAGACTTAGGGATTTGGGGTTGAGGGCTTGGGGAACTTCAGGGTCTAGGGACCCCAACAAACCAACAACCCTAAAGTCTGACAACCACCAACTCCGGCAAGTGTAGCCCCAAATGCTCATGCAACCCAACTCCCGAGCCGCAACGAACCCCCATGAACACACCCTAAACCCTAAACTGTAAACCACACACCCTAAACTCGAGTCCTTAAGCCCTAAAGCCCTAAACCTTAAAAGCTTAAACCCTAAAATCGAATCCTTAAACCTAAAACCCTAAACCCGGAACTGCAAACCCAAAACCCTAAAACTCTACACCTGGCAAGCCTAAACCCTAAACCCCAAAACTCCAAAACCCTGCGCCCTAAAACCCTCAACCCTGAACCAGAAAAGCACCTGTTGGCGAAAGCAGATGTCAAGGCGAGATAGAAACCTGATCGAAGAGCTTGAAGGTTTAGAGTTTAGGGATTTAGGGTTTAGGGTTTTGGGGTTTAGGGTTTGAGGGCATTGGGGCTTCTGGAACACAGGTGTAGGGTTTCAAAGTGTAAGGGTTGCGAGCTCCGGGTGTAGGGCTGAAGCTTAACCCCCCCAAACTGAGGATTCCATCGATTCCCTTTTTAAAAAGAGGAAGTAAGCTGTTGCTGGGGCTCATGTTCAGGTTCCATGTTAGCTTGCTGCAGGTCTTTAGGGCTTAAGGTTCACGGCTTAACGGTTGTGGGATGACCCCCATGGTCTAGGCCTCAGGGAAGCTTGGACTGTCTTTCAATGCTCTTGCAAACACGGTCATCGGCTTTTGGCCAGTGTAGCCTAGATCCCGCGTATAACTCCAGCGCATAAGAAGCATCAAATAGACCTCAACATAATATTCGTACTCATTCAGGATCATTTAGGACCCTACATTGCGGCCGCCGCACGCTTTGTTTGAGCTTACCACGAAGCTGACATTCCACCATCTCCGTTCTTAACTACGTACGGTTCTGACGTATTTCTATTCTTCTTCGACTTATGGGCTGATGGTTATTGATCAGAGGCTAGCCCTACACACTACCCTTAATGTGTGGATCCCCATAAAAGTACCCCTAATTAATTCTGGGAAGCCCCAAACCCTATATATCCCTAGAATCCCTTTTAAAAAGGACTCCAAATTTGGGAAACCCTAAACCCTACACACTTAACCCTAAACCCTAAATTAAGTCCTATATGACCCTATAACCCCCTATCCCCAATTCTGGCAAACCTTAAACCCTAATCCAAAACCATAATCCCTAAACCCTATATATATATGTATAGATTTCCTATAATCCCGTTTAAGGGGACTCCAAACTCTGATTTGGAAATCCAGGGGTGTAGGAAAGCCAGGAAGCTCGAAAACTCCCAGGGGGCGCCCGACGGGTGAAGGGTCCTCCAACAATCAGGGCGTCAGGCCTTTGGGGGTTAGGTGTTTAGCGCTTAGGGTTTTAGGGGTTGATGGGTTAAGGGTTTCGGAGTTTAAGGGTTTAAGTGTTAAGCCTTGGGGATTGGGGTGTTTGAGGTTTAGGGTTTCGGGAATAGGGATTTTCAGTGTAGGGTTGAGGGAGGGGTTAGGGTTTCATGGTTCAGGGGCTCTTTGGCACAGTGGTTAGGTGTGAGGGTTACCGGGTTAGGGGGTTTTGTATGCTGCCTGAATATTTACGTCTTGGATATTTCGAGCGGCCGAATTCACGTGGGCTACCCTTCTAGGGACCAACAAAAGAACAGGGGCAAACACATTGCGAGGGATATCCAATCCCCCCCCGAAGGTTCGGGTATCCACCCAAAAAGCTTATGCTTTTAGTCTTAGTTTGTTCTTGACCTTCTGGCTACGAGATGGGCGTGCCGATCCTGGTAATGCGCTCATGTCATACTGGCACACTACAGGGAATGTTGGAGAGTGGTGTTTTATGAGGGAAGCGTGATCCCTACATAAAACCCATTTGCAACCCCAGTGTTCGATTCATGTGTTGCGTCTGATGTCGTACTTAATTCTCAACTACTGCATTCTCCTGAACCCCAAACCCCTGAAACTCAACAGCCAAAAGCCCGAAGCCCTAAACCCAAAACCCGAGACCCCTAAATGCGCAGTGTTAGGAGGAGAGGAAGGTGTACCTGGACCCCAAAACTAGCCCCAAAGGCCATCCTTCTACACAGAGCCATTCAAAGTAAGCCGCAACCCTTATGGTTGAGGGCTCAGGGTTTAGGCATTGGGGTTGAGGGTCTGGGCTGTTTAGGGCTCAGGGTTTAGGGTTTCTGGGCTCTCTTTGAGAGGCGTTTGGCACATGTAGGGGTCATCTCGACATCCCCTCGCCAACAAAATTTGGGAGCAATGCCTGGACCCCTGGGTACCCTAACAAATGGGTAGGGTAAGGGGGTCTAGGTCCTACGGAAGGTGGCGCCGCTCTGGGACTTGACGTGTCACAGCAACAGCTTCTAAGCTTTTCCTGTTGTAACCACTCCTACAACTCCGCGTCATGCACAAATAGGGTAGTGCCTCGGAATCACGGGATATAGGGCAGTTCAGGATGTTCTCCAATGCTCATGTCCTAGTTCGAAGATTAGGTCGACTGTCCCTCGCCAACATCAGCTTTCAAGACCTCAAATTCATATGAGCCATAGTCTAAACTCCAGTATCTCCCTTTATAAGCACAATAGCAATCCCCTATATAATCCCGTATATAACCCCCCTTTAAGGAGTTTAGACTATAGCTCATATGGATTGTCCAAATGACGGTCCCTGCCTGTGGCCTTAATTAATGTACAGGGTATCCCGAAAACGGAACTTACTTTTGACTACTGCCAATGTGAGAGGTTTGAATGAAAGGGGGGTGGGGCCTTAGGCATATTAGGGATGCCATGGGAATCATGGAGCATAGGTGCTGGTGTAGGGTTTGGGGTGGAGGGTGCAGGGTTTAGGGTGTAAGGATCGTGGGTTTGAGATTGGAAGTATGGGCCCCTAGTGTGGGCACTTAACTTTGGGCTATATACCCTAACAAGCCCTGCAAACCCAATCCAGTGCCCATAGTTTTGACCTTAGCCTGGGGATCCCGGCTAAGGATTCTGTGGAGGGTTCTTCTGCGTCCTTAGACCCGTCCCATACACCAAATGTCTAGGAATTAGATGTAAAGTTTAGGCAACTATTGCTTCAAACTGTCGAGCTACCCTTTCAAATGCACTAGGATTATGTAGAACCCAAAGGGTTTAAGAATGTCTACTCAGCCACTAAGATAATCCCAGAAAAACAAACATCGCTCCGGCAATGCGTGGGCGGCCAGCGTGCAGAACAGCGCCTTCGACTGCTCCTGAAGAAGCGCGGGGACTCTTATCCCTGCTAACTCGGTCACCCCTGATAAGACCTGCAAGTCCCACAAGACCTGAATGATCTACACACAACCCTCAATCCTAAACCATTCACCTAAACAAACTCAAATCCCGGCTAGCCGACACGGGGTTTGGCTGGAGATCCGGCTTCAATCCTTTGACAAGGTTTCTAGGGATGATCTAGAGTTTAGGGTTTAGGGCTGAGGATTGAGGGTTGAGAGGTATTATTTATGTCTGTGTAGCTCTATGGGTATATACGGGTACATAACGGCATGTAGGGTTTTGGATTAGGGCTATTGGGCTTAGGTCGTGCGCGCAACTTATGGGGCGTTGCGAGTTGAGCCTGTGGGGCATGGGGCGTCACGGCTTGATCTTGGTCCTCACCTTTCCTGTTACGTCCTAACGGGCTTCTGAAGCCAAAGAAACTTGATGGCAATACGGTCATCCCACATACAGGCAATACAGAAGGACTGTGGGGTGCCAAATTTGGATTTTGTGGGGAATACTTTGCGAGACTCCCATGTAGGATCGTGTTCTCCTTTTTATCGCTACTGTCCAACGGCCCTTCTCCACGGTAGGAT